GCAGTCGCTTAACCAACTGAGCCACCCGGGCGCCCTATCTCGCTGCATTTTTCAATTGCTTACGCCTTTGAGGTTATTCACTACTATGGTAGCTCTACAGTGGAGATGCTGTGTAAGGCTGGGCTCCTGTGTGTCTCTCTCATCGGCTCCATGTTCAGCAGCATTTTGTTGGTAGCTTCAGATGGACCGAGGTGGGGGTATTTACACCGGGGCGATTTGCAAATGCTGCGAGTCAGAGCCTCTCTGCTGACACGAATTAATAGTCATGCCTGGCGCGGAGCGAGGACGGTAGAAGGGAGACTGTTACTGTCACGATTTTGTGCGGCTTTTGCCCTCCCTCATCCAGGCTTGCAGTCTCTGCAGACGGCGAGGCTGCTGACCGGCTGTTTTCTCTCTCTCCCCAGTTTGTCCCACCATCTGCAAGTCACACGGCTGCACCGCCGAGGGTCTCTGCTGCCACGGCCAGTGTTTGGGCAATTGCTCCGAGCCCGACGACCCCACCAAGTGCGTGGCCTGTCGCAACTTCTACCTGGATGGCAGGTGCGTGGAGACCTGCCCGCCCCCATACTACCACTTCCAAGACTGGCGCTGTGTGAACTTCAGCTTCTGCCAGGACCTGCACAACAGATGCAAGAACTCCCGGAGACAGGGCTGCCACCAATACGTCATTCACAACAGCAAGTGCATCCCCGAGTGCCCCTCTGGCTACACGATGAATTCCAGCAAGTGAGTGCAGGGTGTGGCTTCCGGGGGTGGGGAGGGGGTGGTGCAGCAAAGACGGGAAGCGACGCGGGGCTGATGGTGGTGGTGGTGGGGTGGGGGGCGGGGTGGCACCTGCTGAAACTGTGTGGAAGACTAGATTAACTGGCAACGAGTGAGGGGGTGCTGCCGCGGGGTGATATTCCCGGGTCTCTCGGATGCCGCTGTCGCCTCCTGTTTTGGTCCTGGCCTTTGGAGCTGGACTCGACAAACTTTCCGTAAAGGACGAGAGAGTAAACATTTTCCCGTTGTACGCGCCGTTTTTTAGTTTTTCTGTGCTTAGCTTGGGGAACAGAAGACAGAAAGACAGGAGTCCTTGGTTTCCACTAGCATCCTTCTCAGGGACAGGACTGTCCCCAGGGATGCGGCTGCCCAAATGTTACAGCCTAGAGCAGAGCTGAGGTTTTTATGTTTTCTCCGTGCTGGAGCCAGACAGCGTGCTGAGATTAGCCGGGAGCACAAGGAGGAAGAGAATCCATTCTAGAATATTCTCAGGACTTTGCTGCATTTTGAAGGACAGGGCCATCGAACCTAATGTTCCCTAATGTTCGGGTGAGGAATACGGTTTTCTCTCTTTGGCGGTGAGTCAGATTTCCTACGCACATCGCAGACTTTTTGTTCATGTTGTTAGCTTCTTAGATGAGCTATTTCGGTGTCTCGGGGCTGTAACCAAGTTTAAAAAATCTGTTTCCTGGTTTTTGTGTTGAGGGTTTAAAAAAAAAAAAACCCCACAAAACAACAAAAAATAAATCAGAAACAGACGCACGTCAAGGGGCCTTGAGCTGATCTGCTTACGTAAAAAATCTTCCTCTTCAGACTTGAGAATTAGCCAAGCGAACGTGTTCTGGTGGGAAATTTTATTTCCCCGGGTGGAGTGGGTGGGAAGGAAAACAACCTTTATTTCAGGTCTTATGAGCCTCTCTTTGAGTGTTTGTGAAACCTGCAAGTACAACATGTTTTGTTTTAGTTGTTTTTGATAAAACCTATCAAGTGGCTTTGTTGACCAAGAATAGGCTTCTATAAATCACCTTTGCATGCCAGACAGAGCTTTTTTTTTTTTCCTGGCCAGTTTATCAGTCAGGTTGGGAAAATGACCATATTCCTTTGGATTCATTTCTGTTTTTTTTTTTTTTTTTCCACGTTTGAAATAAAGCATGGATATTAACATCTTGTGGCGACATGTTTGTTTAAAAGACACTGGCTTTAAATAAAAGGTTTTTTTTTTTTTTTTCCTTTTCCTGACTGTAACTGAGACCTGAGATGGAGAGGAGATTTCTTTGATGTGCTTGCTGATGGCGCAACAGTCCCTAGGACCCAAACCCTGGGAAATTGGCAGCATGTTCTGTGAAGTCTGGGACCTTTACTGAGGGAAGAAAGGCAGAGTGAGGGATGCCAATTATAACTTGTCAGAGCAATATTTTACTTTGTTGGTTTTAAAAAAAAAATACTAGCTTTCCTTCTGAAGCTTTTATTTGATGAAAGACTATAGTGCTGTCATTTTCTAATGTGGTTTAATATCAAATAGGACCAGATAGGTTTTCTTCCATTCTGGTGGTTTATATGGGAATGGTTTCTGATAGTTTCAGAACAGAGGTCTGGGAACCCACATGATTCATTAAAAAGCCTCACTATCTTTGGTCACTTTGAGGTTCCTGGCGGGAGTCCTGGGGTGCTCTTTCCTGGGACGAGGAGGGCTTGATATTTGGGGTGAATGTTAAGAGTGTGGTGGGCATGGGGCATCCCTGTCCCTCCCCCTAGAATGATCTTTGCCTGGCTGGCTTTTTGTCAGCCAGGTCCCAGCTGAAAAGTCACTTCCTCTGAGAACCCTTCCCTATTTGACTGCCCTGGCTGAATTAGCATCCAGCCACTCTTTGGCACATCACACAGTGTTCATTTTTTTTTTTTTTTAAGATTTTATTTATTTATTTGACAGAGAGATAGAGAGAGAGCACAAGTAGGCAGAGAGGCAGGCAGAGAGGTAGAAGCAGGCTCCCCGCTGAGGAGGGAGCCTGACGTGGCGCTGGATCCCAGGACCCTGGGATTGGGATCATGACCTGAGCTCAAGGCAGCCGCTTAACCAACTGAGCCACCCAGGCGCCCCCGGTTTTCACCTTTTTCATGGCATTTACCGCCAGTTGATTTTTTAATTGTCAATTTGTTAATTTTGCCCAACCTGACCATATGTTTCACAAGTGTATCGGTGAGCTCTTTCTGGGTAACAAACCAGCCAACACCTAGTGACTTGAAACAACACTCATTCATAGTTTATAATGATTTCATGGGTTGACAGGTGGTTTGTCCAGCCTGGGCTGAGCCAGCCATGACCGCATGCATAGGGTAGCCTCTCATATCTCGGATGGGCAGCCGAGGCCTCTCTCCATGGGGTTTCCCAGCCCAGTAGCCAGGAAGCGCCTGCCCCCACGTGCAAGTACTTCTCAAGCCTGTGTTTGCATTACATCTGTTACTGTCCCATTGGCCAAAGCAAGTCACGTGGCCAAGCCCAGATTCACTGAATGGGGACCTACTGGGCACTTCTTGGTGGGATGGGCTGCAAACAACTTGGGGCCTTTGTAATCTCCCACGGGGAAAGTAGATTGCCTCTTTCGTTCACTCATGTGTGCCTGCAGCTTAGAACGGGCGATGGCAAAGGGCCAGATTGTAAATATTTTCAGCTCTGAGGGCCATATGGTCTCTGTTGGCAGCTACGCAACTCAGCCCTTATAGCGCAAGAACAGCGCCACAGAGGATACGCAAGGCAGCGGGTGAGGCCAGGCTGCAGCCTAATGTTATTTACAGAGACAGGTGGTCAGCTGGATCTGGCCCGCGGGCCGTCGTTGGCCGGCCCCTGGCTTAGAGTATCACCTGTCACATAATAGGTGCTCCGGGAGTATTTGCAGAATCAACAAAAGAACCCAAACATTTGGTCCCTATTCCATTTCCACCCCAGCTGTTCTGATATCAACTGGTGTCCGCGGGGCAGTTCTGACCGTAGCTACCCGGAGTGAGCATCGGACTCTGTCCTCCACCACACTGCCCTCACTCCAGATGCCAGCCACGCTTTGGGGTACCCAGGCCACCCATACTTCTCATCGGCTGGATATGCATGTACGCGTTCTCACGTATCCATTTTAGGTTCAGTAATTTGCCAGAACAGGTCACAGTACTTAAAAAAAAAAAAAAAAAAGGTCATACCGTTCCATCAGTCCCGAGCCTGTTAATGGTAGCACCCTTAGTTAGGGACTCCAGCAGGGCTCACCCAAGAGGCACATGTCACTTGTGGCCAGCTCCAGATGTTTCCCCATCAGGGCCCCTATTTATGGCTGGGCCGGCCCTTGTGGTTCTTAGGATCGCTGGATGCACTTCAGCAAAGACTATCTGGGAACTTTGAGGAAAACGAGGGTGATGAGTCACAAGTCCTCACAAGAGGGCACAGGGCACCCTCGCGGGCCACACAGTGAGAACACGGGCAAAGAGAGAGAGAGAGACAGTGTGGACCTGGGGCTCTGCCTTCGTTAGGGTCCGAGGGTGGGACCTCCAGGGTTTCGTGGGTTCACTCTTTACTGGTGAATTTAAAGCATAAGAAGAGGAATTGGGGCGGGGAGGGAGAAGTGGGGTCACTCGGGCAGTCAACTATCTGGGCCACCCAGGGCTTTCTGAAGGAGGGAGCTTCAGGGGCGGGGCAGCCGAATTCCTTATCTCTCAGAGCTGGGTCATGCAGTTGGCCATACGTTCACTGGAGGGATGTCTTTTGAAATGGATGCCTTGGCAATCAGAGCTCACCGTCAGGCACTGAAACTACACGTACTTACAACTACAGCTTTATTATTAAGGATGCGTGTGTTATCACGGGGCGTCCCAGCTCCGTCCCGTGGAGTCAGGGACATGGCCCTCCCAGCAGATGTTTGCATTCACTGTCCAGGAAACGTCGCCGAGCCGGTGTCCAGAATTTTTCCTGGGCTCTCGTTACATAGCTGTGATCAATTGACTCCTTGACCATGTGCTTGGACTCCATCTTCAGTGGACCCACCAATCTAATCCCGTCTTTGGTCTTCTTGGGGACCAGCCCCCATCCCGAAGCTACATAGGGGCCCCACCACGCTGTCACCTCACTAGCATAACAAAGATGCTCCTGCCTCTCAGGGAATCCCAAGGGCCTTTGAAGCTCTGTGCCGGGACCTGGGACTGCCATCACCGAGGTCATTCTGAAGAATTGGATATGCCAAGGGTGTGTAACCAGCCCCGGTAGCAACAATGATACCACTAATGAAAAGTGGTCATCAGGGGCGCCTGGGTGGCTCGGTCGTTGCAGTTAAGCATCTGACTCTTGATCTCGGCTCAGGTCGTGATCTCAGGGTCGTGAGTTTGAGCTCCATGCTGGGCGTGGAGGCTGCTTAATAAAAAAGCAGAACAAACAAAACCCCCGCCAAAGAATCCAGTGTTTTATCCACATCGTCTTGTT